CGGAGCATTATAAAAGAGAGAACCAGCCACGAGGGCTTGAATCAGAGTAGAAATTTGCTTGATGGCGAATGTCGCCTTATCAGTCCAAATGATCTGGTACTGACGGACAATGCATGCTTTGACTTGTTGCAGAAAGTCGACGGTGAACGGGCTGTTCTTCGACAGCCGTTTAGCTTTCTCATCAACAACTCCAAGTTTGAATTCTTCAGTCCGCTCCCGAGTCGACTCAGTATCAGGGTAGTCATATTCAATCGCCATCTGGGCTCGGATGGGCGACTTCTCGTAAGCGGCCAGAACCTCATCCGCGTTGCGCGGGAAGCGATTTTCATATCCGGGTCGGATTTTGCGCTCGGTCGGGACAGTAACACCAGTCAGAAAGTCTGCCACATTCGATCCCTCACGGCAAACGAAGCCTAGCTCCTCCATGAAAGGCCGTGCCTGTGACATTGGGCCATAGTAAATTTGCCTGCCCTCATCGAGAACCAGAACTTTATCGAAAAGGTCATAGATGCCATTTCCTGCTTGATAGAGTGTAACGATCGATGACAATCCAAAAACGTCTGTCATCGCACGGACAGCTTTTGCCCACTCAAGAGCAGTGCTAGCGTCCAGACCCCGAGTACTGTTATCCCAGCAGAAAACGGAGCCACGAGTCGCAAGACATTCGATGATGGACACACGTTTCCGCTCACCACCACTGACGCCTCTCACGTACTCATTGCCGACTTTCGTATCCGCAGTATGAGAGATGCCCATGGACTTGAGCAAGAATTCCCGGGTTTCCTGGCGAAAAGCTTCCTGCGAAGCGACGCCCTCGGGAAGATTGAAGGGAACTTTTAGTCGGGTTGCAAAATCCATGGTCTGTCCAACAGTCAAGGTAGGGAAGAACAGTTCCTCCTCGGTGTTCATAACGATTTGACCCCGGTATTTGGAGGCCTCCTCGGGAGTAAGCGATCCGAAACGAACGTCGCCCCGAATCGCCTTGTAGCCGAGTCGATGGTTAGAAAGCATCCTGAGCAGGGTCGTACAGCCGGAACCAGGACGACCGAGGACAAGGAGCATCTCTCCCGGTTTGACGCAGCCATGACTTTCGTGGAGAATAGTCCGCAAAGGGGCCTTGTTACGAGATTCTCGAATATGCTGAGGAATGTTGAATTGGGACAAAACGTTCTCGTTGATGGCGGCATCTGCGCTGACGACTTCCACACTCAGATTCTTCCAGGTTACGCCAAGTTCGCGACGTCTGAGACCGGACGCTACATTCCGGTCATGCTGTTTCTTGAGATCGGGCATCAAGCTCCAGTCCTCGGCGTGAGAGGTGCCGGAGGTGTCTTGAAGAGGAGTAGGCGACTGATCGGTCTCATCGAGAACAGTGTTAGTGCTGTCTGTATCGTCTCGCCTGTCGAAGAGCGCTCTTGGCTCCATAAACGGTTGGTGGCCTTGGTCCTCCATGGCTCAGCAGGCACCAACTTCAGCGGCCAGAAGGGCGAAAATATTCCAACTCAGGATTGGAGATAGGTCCAGGGTGTCTCAGGAGCCATCGAAGGTATATATGAGCTTGCCATTTTGCAAGGTGATTCAGCCGAGTGGGTCAGCGGTCTAAACATACCCGGGCCCCGAGTCTCACAGCTTCATAAAAAATACAAGACCCTAGGCTGTGCTCGCCAATCATTATGGTGGATGCCATTGTGATCAATAATCAATGGTAAGCTTCTTGTTGTCACAGGAGTTTCTCCCCAGGGTGACCCAGTTGTCATAATGCCGAATCCGAGTCCGAAGTTCCGAATGAACCTCCTTGGGTGAAAATCAGGGAACACCCTTATCATATCGACCGATCCTGCAAAGTTAGGCCGGACCATGTGCAAGACAAAGGTGTCGCTGTCTTTTCCTACCCGCCAGTTTGATTTGTTTCAGACAAGACCGGCGGCTTTGTGTGGGTCGGTGTCGGCGTCGGCGCCCCCCTTAGGCCGGCTTACTCTGAAACTCCCGCTGAGTCAGCCACTGCAAACCAATCATTTCGTGTTTTATTTTCGCCAAGGGCTCGGCGGAATCAGCCTGCTTCCGCTGATTCAGCGGCTGCGGACCAATCTGCTATCAATCTTTACCGGCTTCTCCATGGATTTCTTTCAGTTGACTCATGTTTTCTAGAACACCTCTGTTCTAGACCATAGATACACTGATGGTACATGAGCAATACTGCCAGAGGATTGTCTAATCCAGCCGAGATTAAGTGCTTGATTACAGATCATCGACGGTTCTAATCCGATGAGTTCCTACAGTTCTGATCCTCCAGCGGAGATCTCGGAAGTTGTTCACATGGGGATAAGAAAATCTATTGGGTGGGCCTAGCCACTAACCATTGTGTATCTGGATACACATGGCATCCATGTATTCTCTGCAAATCTTCTCCGTCGAGTATCCACCATGTAACTAGTCCATGCAACATGTGTCAGCCTGCATTTGCCTGTTGCATTGTCTTTTGACTAGGCAGAACCTTCGTGGTCTTGTTAACGACCCAACTATTCACTATCACAGGAAGATACCAATATGCCGATATATATGTAAAGCGCAGAGAGTTATGATAGGGTTACTGATCTTCTCAGTAGGCAGCAGCTGTTAAGTGTATTTCAGAGTTCTCAAAGATTAACTTTTGTTATATTACTCATGAATCACAATTTGCTCTAATATGCTCATTCATTCTCTTCAAGGTACTGTTGCTGACAGCTTCGGGCAACCTCGCCTGAAAGGTTTACGACGGCCAGTTCGATATACAATACAGTCATCAGAACTTGTCTCCTCACTGTTTATCAAGTTCTACCTGCATTGATGGGTTTTATCAAATTCAGGCGCAGTCATATACTAATTCAGTTTCCCTGTGGTTGAGTACCAACAAAAATATATATTTGACCATACCTGCTGAGACGCGTGCTTTTTAGGCAATCCAAATGCTGTCTCTCTAAGTCTTCTCTTATTATCTGAATTAGTCCACTCATAGCCCCGAATTAACCTTTATGGTATAGCAGATACATACTTATTAGTAATCCTGTTGTACGGTGCCTTCTATAGAAGCTTTGTGAGGTCATTGAAGGGCAATATTTATCCTTAAATGGCGAGGCAATAAGAACATAGAAAAGTAGAGATTTCAGAAGGACAGTGACCTCGAGCAACTACTGTTATTGTTTCAGGATGTGAATCCCTCTGGACTTCCCATGTTTAATGTTGTGCCTTGAGCATCAATCTTCGATCTTGTTAAAGCATCGGCCCTATCTACTATTCAAGCTGAGATGGCTGTAGGCCAATTGAGGTAAATAATCACCCCTACTGATATCCGAAATCTTCATCGCGACTCCACCAGCGATCCTCTAGAATTTCAGACATAGTGGCTCTCTCTGCAGGATTGAGTTTTGTCATCCTGGATATCATCCTCTTTGTCTCAGCGTCGAGATTGGGGAATAGCTCTTCCTTCCACTGGTTGAATCGCATGTCTGGATCATCAGCCGTTGCCTCATGATAATTCTATCAAGAGCTTGCCCCATCTTTGGTCGTCAACATGTTCTACAAGCTCAGGAGGAACAGGGCCGAAGTATGTTATCAATCGGACTAAGACCTCCAGCTCAGGTTCGATTCCCGCCTCCCTTAGTTCGTTGAAGTCGGGCTGTAGAGTTTCCATGCCCGTTATGACGTAGAGGCACTGTGAGTAATGATAAGCGGGTATGCTTTTGACAGGGAATAGTCCAACTTACAAGGAGTCCATAAGAAACTACATCTGAAGGTTTACCAATGCCCTTCCCTATCTGCCCCTCTGGACTGCGCCACATGACGTTTCCTATTCTAGCGTTGAGGAGCTTCTCCCCTTCCAGCTCTAAAGAGCAGTCCAGGTCAGATAATACCACTCTCTCAATTTCAAGCTGACCCTCACTGGTTTCACTACAGTCGACCATGACATTGTCAGGCTTTATGTCTAGACGGGACCCTTGTCAGTAAAGATTCGTTGGAGTGATACTAGAGTGCCTTGCAACCAACCTAAGTGTATCCAGTTCTTGGCATGAAGACACTCCACTGCCTGTCCGACCTGTTGCAATACGGATTTTCTTGCTCTAAGAGATAGATTTGCGTTGTTCTGTACTAGGGAAAGCAAGTCATGCAACAAAGTAATCATAAACAAGGGTGAGTTCATCTTCGCTGGCATCCACATGTGTTCGAAGTTGGCAAGTATCTGGAAACTCCCTTTTGAGGATCATGGAATGTTCGAATATTGACTCGGAAACGGGCTTCAAAACAAAGGGTCGACTCTCACAACTGAGGTACGTGCCGCCTAATTAGTGGAAAGTTTGGGAATTAGCAAGATGATTGACGAAGTTGAGCTTACCGTGAGAGGTAGATATTCAGCTCCGGCTGCCTTGGATGATCTTTGAGAATCCTTCGTGGACATAAACATGACCCGATGTGCTAACAAGTGTTGAAGACATCCTGCCCCTGGTTCGTCTTATCTTGTCGAGATGGCAAAAAACAGTATATGGATGAGGTTTAATTCTTGAAGTGTAGTGGTACCACATGACAGCGAGATGGTCACTGCCGACCGGAGCGTGACGGCGTCGACCAGGTTTGTAGTTCACTTAGCAAGTTCGTCAGCCTGCGTTATTCAAAAGTTCGGCAACTTCGCATGAACAGTCATCATTCCAAAGCCTCCTGCCTAATCCATCAAGACTGATATGGCATCTTCACTGAGAACTTTCTCGTTGTCGTCGCGGAGGTAGTCTCACTAAATTAAATCCAGAAATTGATTAATGAATGGTCGCAATGTCGAACTTAAATAAGATCAGTCCAGCTTCTGGAGGCTAAAGTGTTCATGGGATGTCCAGCTATTTTAAGTTACGTCAGGCAAGGGGTAAAAAGCCATATCTATTGGTTGTTCCAGAATCCAGATTGAGCTTCACTGTACCTGGCGCTGCAGCTGGTTCACAAGTACACTGATACAGATAGAAAGATCTGCTACTATCATGCTTCGATTCTGGCCACCGTTGCGAGTTCCTTCACCAGTCAGCCAGCATCTCCGGATTCCTTTTTCTTCTCGGCGACGACTGTTCAATGTGGGAAGCAAACCCAGCACGCTGTCACCGCATTCCTTGCCTGATGGAGGTTCGGGAAAACCGGTTCCACGTTAGTAGCATTATCTACTCTCACTTGTAATTCCCTATGTCGCTGATTCGTTTATAGCGCATGATCCTTATACGTACACCAGTGGGAGATGGCTTCATCGGGACGAGCTGGAACGAAAATCTCGCCAGATTGTGTTTGACTTCTCGGCGCTTCGCGATAGGGCTATCAGCCTGTGTCCAGGAGCAACCAAGATGGTCGAATGCGAGAAGAGAGAAGGTGGATTTAACAGAGTCTTTCTTTTCACGATGGACACAGGTCCTTGTGTTGTGGCGAGATTACCGACCGGTATTGCTGGCCCGCCAAGGTTAACCACCAACTCTGAAGTCGCAACAATGACATACTGTAGGTCTGATTTACATACCTGCTTTCTGGGAATGCAGTTGACATACTCACTAATTGCTGTTTCCCGTATAGTACAGTCCAAGATCTCGGTTCCAATACCGAAAATCCTAGACTGGAGCGACGATCCGTCAAATCCAATCGGCGCAGAATATATCTTCCAGGAGCATGTTGCTGGTGTTCAGCTGCACCAGATGTGGCCCAAAATGGACTCGGAACAACATATGCTGTGTACTAAGATGCTTGCATTAGCGATGAGAGATATGGCATCCTTGGACTTTCCGGCCTATGGCAGCCTATACTTCTCAGATGCGCCGCTTGAGTCGCACATGAAGATTCCCTTCGACCAGGGCTTCTGTGTTGGTCCACATTGCAATCCAGTTTTCTGGAACAGGAATCCGGGGGAACTTGGACTCTACGGTGGTCCGAGTCCCAATTGCGGTCCTTGTCAGTTGCACGATTCTCTATCCCCTTTTTAAACAACAGTTCTAACGTAGCGGGCACAAAATTAGGGAGAGACCTCACGAGCTATTGCCTAGGTTTGATAGAGACCGGTTTCTCTCGTTTACCAAAAGAAGATGCTGGCAATCGCGACCTTCTTCCTCATCAAGGCTCAATTGGAGATCATATCAATCTCTTGAAAATAAGCCAAGAAGTGATGCAGAAATTGGTCAAAGATAAGCGCATCCAGGATGCCGCTACTCCAGCTCTGATCCACCCTGATTTTCACAAAAGAAATATTTATGTCTCAGCCGAGGTTACAACTGTTATTACGGGCGTGCTCGATTGGCAATCAGCGAGCATTGAGCCTGCGTTCATCTATGCCAATGAGACTCCTGATTTTGCTGCACTCCCTCAGGAGGCAGATGGAAACATATTCGAGAACGGCCAAGAGGAACACAAAGATCCTGCCCGAAAGGAACGAGAATGCAAAGATGCGTTGATCTGTTACCAGACATACGATGTGTGCATGAAGGGGCTTGCTCCTAAACTACGTCCTGCAAGGTTACTCGATCCGAGCTTGTTTCGAGTCTTCCACTACTGCCATACGACATGGAGAGACAGTGCCACGGCGCTCCGCCAAGAATTGATTGAGCTTTCAGCTCGCTGGACAGAATTGGGACTGCAGGACGCTTGTCCATTTTCTCCAAATGAAGAAGAATTGAAGAAGCACGCGCGAGATTATGAAGACTTTGAGACTGTCCAAAAACTTAAACTGTGGCTAAGAAACTCACTCCATACGAATTCTGATGGCTGGGTTCCGAATGACGTATGGAACGCTGCGAAAGATGCTCATCGCGCGGCGTACGACGAATGGATGCAGACGGCCAGAGAATCAGAGGCTCGTGGCGAGGGCCTGACAGTAGCAAAAGCGGATAAATTGTGGCCATTTGATGCTAGATAACCGCGGGAGAGCCAGACAAGGAGGACTTTTCCCCGTGGCGGCATGACTCAGTCACAGAGCTCATAATGCCACTGTAGAAGGAATCACTTCTCCACCGCGACATGTCATGGACGGATTGGTTCCTAAGGGTGGATTGCAATCACGAGCCGAGCGACAGCACACCGCCGAGTGGCACGTGGAGGCTCGGGGAGAAGGTGCTGTCATTTGGCGGGTACTCGGCCGAGACGTTGTGATGTCTTTGTTTAAGCTGCCACGGCCTTGACCGGCTCCAGCGATGGTGGCTGAAAGGAACCGTATCTCTGGGCGGAGCCACGAGGCCTCTCATCCCGACGCAAGGAACACTCTCCCGCCGAATGAGACTGACAGGTGCTCGAGTAAACATAACTGCTTCTGTTGTAGAATATGCCGCCAAGGAGGTCTGATAGGACATAGCAAGTCCCTTCTGACGCTACTAGCTCCTTTGCTGGGCATCATCAACTCGAAACGAAGGATGCTTCTCTCCATTTGTCTAGTAAGGCACTGTCCCAAATATTCTCATTGTTTACAACGCTCTAGCCGTCAAAGACAGTGGGAACTAAAAGCCGTAGCTCTTGAGCTCCGCGGAGGATTCACCAGTGCGATGCATATTGATTAGGTCAATGACGAGTGTCAACCTGCTAGCTCGGGGATATTTGAACGGCATTGCTCACAATAGGCTGGGATGGATGCGACTTCGGCCAGTCGCAATCTGGAATCGGTTCAATGGGACAAATCTTCGATGACCGTGGAAAGTCCGAGCCACTGATTCATGGGTCGTAGCCAAGAGGCCAAGCCATGTGCAGGCATCGGAGATGCTGCGAGACCAGCCGGCTCCAACTCTATTTCCAATGAATGGGAGTGGCAGGCTGAATACGCTTGTCTTGGTACAGCAGAGCTTCCAGAAGCGTACTAAATTGGCTGGTGGCAATAGACCAGGCACTTGATATGGTTGTTCGACCAACAACTATTGACGAATCCCCTCTAAATATGCGGAGCTGAGATAAGCTCCAAAAGAATCTACCTCGATATGCGAGACTTCTTAGTGTTCGACAATAGTCTTGCTAGAAACTGGCGTATGAGAGAAGCTCCAGCTATTCAGCTCCTCTACCCCATACCAACCGCAACTCGCTGAAGCACCAGATTAAACAGCACAAAGAGCTCCCAGGACCCAGCTCCTACAATACAAAGTTTAATGCTGTGCGCCACCGGACAACTTCCGACTTCGACAAGGTCGCTTTGGGCAACTCCCGATATGGGGAAGCAAACGGCATAATCAGCACAGACCCTGAAACGTGGGGGAACCCACAAAATGGCAGGTTCGCGGGGAGGATATGTGGCAGTATGGAGCAAGCCAGCCAACGGCAAGTGGCTACGGGAGTAAATATGGAGTGGGAGGCCATTCTAGCATGTAGTCTACTGGAGTCTATTGGGGTTTTTCTCCGCATTTGTCAGAATTATTGATGGGTCATCGTCACCAAATCAGCCAATCAGTTATTTCCCCGCGTTTCCCCAGAAAAGCCACGCCCCCAGCAGAATCCCGTTCCCCCTGTGTATTTCTCCCTAATGATCCATCTACAACAGAGCTCTTCCACTCCGCTGCCCAATCCCGCGCTTTCGCAGTCTCTCCGTCCCGTGGGGGTTCCCCATCAAGGTAGGACTGCATAGCTTGCAGACATGGTGTAATCGTGCAGTACCGCGGCAGTTCGAGCGCGTAGTATATAAAAGATGGCCGATCCCTTTCTTCTTCTGCAAGTTCCACAGCGCAGACTCTGTCGCTTCTCTAACTCATTTTTTCTTCTTTTTGGAAAAACCCCCTTTTTGTTATCGGCTGGCTCGATCAAGATGGGCGAGGTAATTACCGACAAAGACCTTCTGGGGGAGAAGGCTGAGATGAGCCACGAGGAGGTCGCCCAGCTGGCTCAGTTGACCGAAGAAGAGAAAGTGATCGAGAAAAAACTGCGGCGACGCCTTGACTCTACCATCATGCCGCTTGTTATTCTCGTCTATCTCATGAACTATATTGATCGGTAAGAATGCCTTTCTGGAATTGCGTCGAGCTGGCTGCTTGCTTTCTCGGCCTGTCACCGGTCGCATATTTCCTCCACGGTGTGACAGTAGTGCGACCAGGACTGACGTCTACAAAGGAACAATTACCCTGCTGCTCGTCTACAAGGTCTTGAACGCGATCTAAACCTCAGCGATGCCGACTATCAAACTGGTCTTTCCATTCTATTTGTCGGATACATTCTCATGCAAGTGCCGTCCAACCTGATCCTGAACTATATGGGACGGCCATCGCTATACCTGGGATTCTTCACCGCTGCATGGGGCTTGGTCTCGCTGCTGACGAGCCAAGTCAAGAGCTTCGGTGGAATCGTCGCCTGTCGGTTCATCCTGGGTCTAGTCGAGGCTCCATTCTTTGCTGGTGTGCTCTTCTACCTCTCCAGGTGGTACACCAAGAAGGAGCTAGCTCTGCGCATGAGTATCTTCTACGCAGGCTCCCTGCTCAGCGGAGCATTCGGAAGTCTTATCGCAGCAGGTATCCTGAAGGGACTCGACGGAAAACACGGCCTCGCAGCCTGGCAATGGCTGTACATTATTGAGGGCGCCATCACCATAGGCGTCGGCATCGCGGTCATGATATTCCTGCCCGACTTCCCCTCCACCTGGAAGCGCCTCTCCGAGGAGGAACGCCACGTTGCGAACCGCCGACTGGCCATCGAAGCCGCCGATGCCGACGTCGACGAAGCCGGCAAGATGAGCCAGGTCAAGGGTCTCAAGCTCGCCTTCAGCGACATCAAGACCTACGTTCTCGCTATCGCTTACATGTCCATCACCGGCGCCAGCGGCTTCCAGAACTTCTTCCCCACTCTCACATCAACACTTAAGTACGACCACTTCATCTCCCTCCTGCTCGTCGCGCCGCCCTACATCTTCGTCGTCTTCTACAGCATGGCGCACTCCCACCTCTCCGACCGCTTCGGCAACCGCTTCTGGTTCTTCTTCTACCCCATCCCCATCACCATCATCGGCTTCATCATCTTCATGACAACCGACAGCTTCGGACCAAAGTACTTCTCCTTCTTCCTCATGAACATCATCTTCGCCCAGAACGGCACCATCTACGCCTGGATCGGAAACGCCATCCCCCGTCCCCCGGCTAAGCGCGCCGCCGCCTACGCCTTCATCAACTCCATCGGTAACTCCGCCAGTATCTGGACCCCCTTCACCTACCGCAAGCAGGACTTCCCGCACTACCGTCCCGCGTTGGGCGTGTGCATCGGACTGCAAACACTCGGCGGCATCATGGCAATCATCATGTACTTCCATCTGCGCTCGTTGAACAAGCGCCTGGAGCGGCTGGACGACAGCGAGGTGACGCTCACGGATAAGGAGATACGGCGACTGGAGCGCACGGCGGAGATCGAGGGGATTGACCTTGCGGCCGCACGTCGACTGCAGAAGGGATTCAGATACCTCTTGTAATAGTTTGGATTATGATATAGCTAGCCTCCGCTGAATTTTGGAATGAATAAGTTCGTACAATATCTAAAGACTTTGTGTTTCCATTTTCACTCACATGCTTTATTTGCCCACTGGCAGAGAAGAACAACCTGTAATTACTACCATCTGGTCACTCTCATCATCCCATGACGAACTCTGTAGATCCTACTGCCTAACAGCAACCCCACATATCCCGGAGGCTGCTGAAACCACATAACTCGCCATGCAACCATGGCTTTCACCGCGTTCCGCATTGATGCCGACACATCCAATTCTCTGCATAACCGGTAATTCGTTGCATCATTGCGGTCGTACCAGCATTTTCTTCAAGACATCGCTATGTGAAAATGATCTTCGCTTCGAAATATATGATTGAAGTTTGCTTGGAGATACCCTTAAGGAGCATCTTTTCAGCTGTGAAACAATACCCTCCACTGTGTTTCTGGTGGATCGGAGGCCTTCTCGACCCTCTCCAATACACCATCACAGTGCGCCATGTTCGTACACACTGCGTCTTTATCAATAAGGGTCACGTCAACAGAACGCTGGAAGGAATCCCGAGGGCTCGCACTGCTCGAGACGGTGGTATCCCAAATGACGTATCCAAAAGGGCATCGCCGCCGGTCCGATAACTCGGAGTTTGTTGGGTCATGCCATCTTTTGTAGTTTGAGTATGTTTGTGGGGGATCCTGGCCGATGGAATTATATAGCCAGGAGATTTGTGTTGGGTACGTGAAGCATAGCGACCTTTTACTGAGGAAGTAGATTCTTCAGGAGAGTATTGATTTGAATATTAATCAACGTGGCTGCGGTCTTTCACATCGTCGTCAGCCACAGAGGATTCAAGAGGGTTAATGGGCACCTAATCTTGCCAGATTCTTTTGACAGCCTATGTGCTGGCTCTCACAGACCCGTCCGCCTACAACCTGGCATGGTACTATTGGTCAGCCAACCAGCTCCTCCGTCGCAAAACTGCAGGTGGAGGCTTAGACAGTGGTATGTGTAACAAGTGCTCTTGTTGATCCCGCGAGGCTGAAAACGCCCCAAAAGATATAACTGAGCACCCCTAGGCCTCCGTCCAACACAAGCACTACCTCATCATTCTTTGCAAAATCCCATATACCAGCTCTCAATGATAAATATCATTTACTCTAGAATATTGTAAATTAAGCGAGCACAACATTATGGACATACACACCAACGATCTGGACTTCAAATTTCCCTTCGACCGAGATAAATACCCTCTTGATAGTCCCGAGTCACTCCAGGATATTTTCGCAGCAGCACAGCATGAGAAACATTTCTCAAATCCCAGAAATTTCTCTGATAAGACCGACATTAGATGCTTTGACCTGGATGGGATGAACTCAAGTAAGCGCACTTTTTGATGTGGTTGGATATACGTCTATAGACTGACGGCCTCAAGCATGGCGTCATCTGGATACCAGGTCTCTCAGTGATCTATTACAGGTAAGACA